GTAGGAGTTCCATCGTTCAGCGAAAAGAGGCCATGCTGATGGGTAAGTGTCACAAGTGAGGTGCCCCGAATAGTTGTCTTCACACTTCCCCATAAGGGGTGATGGGCGTTAAAGTCCCCCGTTAAGATGTGCGGAGGAGGGGTGCTTTTTAATAATAGAGTTAATACGTAGGGTGTTAAACTGACTATTTGGAGTAATATACGCCGCGATTATGGTGAATGTGCAGCGATCGTTCTAGACAGTCAACGCTACGTACTCGTTGTTAGCGTCAGGTGGAAGTGCGTGACAAATATAGGTAAGGTCCTTCCGAACCGCGACTAGTACTTGGCTTGGAGCTGTACCTCGCGTCGAGTGAAAAACCTCGTACTAGATAGACGAAAATCACTAGCAATGTTTGATTTCGACAAGGCTATGACAGGAAATCGGTACTTATGGCAAAATTGTCGAAAGTCAGATAGTCGGCTGCGGAAACCCATTGCAATCCATTGAAAAATGGTTGCTTGTGGTTGAATTTGCTCTACTGATAACATATGTAGGCTAGGAGGGAGGGCTTGGACAGAGCATAAGGTCAACCAAAACCCAAATAGTAAGCGCGATGCTTTGCGACGCCGTGCCTTTCATACCTTGTAAAAAGAATCTTTGCGACATTAAAAAAGAAAAAAGTGTGGTAGTACCTATATGGTGAGAATCGGTAGTTGCCTTGAAGCAAAAATGTCTCCTTGAAAGCCAGAGTGTTAGCTTGTGAATCAAGAGTACGATAACAAAATTCGAAAAACAAAAAAAAAAACAAGTACGAAAATTATGTACATTTCCCTGTAGTCGGGGGTTCCCTGAGGTCTGTTTTTCTAGCGATTGAAGCTTAACACGACCAGTGTTCGTTTCTTTTGGTGAGGTGAGACTGGTAAAACTTCAGAATATCCTTACAATAAAGGACTCTAACGAAAGGATCGCTTCAATCGTGTGATGAAACGTTGACGCCGGTGGGATCGTCACCCTAACCTGTACCACTCCCTCTGGGAATGCCGTCACCCCCTCGGTGAGGGTATCACCCCCATTCCTTCCCCCACCTTTTCCTCCTGGGAGGCGTCCCTTTCCGGCACAGAGCTCGATGACCAGCAGCGACTGGTTGAGCGAGCCCGCCGGATCTGGGCGGCCAACGGAGCCCTGGACTAAGGGCACCGACCAGAGACCGCAAGGTTCTTTCACTTTATAAATTAATAAAGTTTACGATGATGATGATGATGATTTTCAATATTCTACGGAGAGCGGTCAATACCAGTGGTATTATGGTTTTGAATAAAGATGTAGTACCTGTTTCCCCAACCTGGTTTGGTGCCGAGGTACGCGAATCAAAAGGCCTAATCAGAAGGGCCGTGTGAAGTGATGTCTTTGATTTTTTGTTTTTCCCAAAAAGACGGTTTTCGTGCTTCTTTGAGTGCAGCTGTTGTAGTAGTCGCTACAGCTCCAGGATCGTCACTTTTGTTCTCCAGCTTCTTAAGAGGAGGGTACTCCTGAGCATTTAGTGACGGCACACTAGTGGTGGTGATTCTGGACGCTGATTTTTTACCTTCAGCCGTTTCCTTGTTTGCCTGATGTTTAGCGTGCACGGCATATTTTGCCTCGCGAAAAGTAGTGTTGTGTTCTAGCCGATACCTTGTAACTTCAGTCTCTCTCACCTCGACTGGGCACTCGGCTGAGTTGGAAGCGTGCTTTCCTTGACAGTTAACGCAGCTGGGATTGGCTTCACACTCGCCTTCGTGACGCAGTCCACATCGATAGCATAATTGAAAGTCTGCTGTGCACGCAGCTGCAATATGGCCAAACTTGTAACATTTGTAGCACTGCAAGGGGCGTGCTCGGTAGGGAATCACCTCAGTTTTTACAAGCCCCCCTTTGACGTGTTGAGGAGCTACTTTCCCTGTGAAGGCGACTCGCACTACGGCTGAGGTCTATCCAAGTTCCTTCACCTCTGCTACGCCAATGGAGGACTGCAGATGTGTTTTAATGTTGTCTTCTGTGCAGTCAGGGTCAATGTCTCGCAGAATTCCAAAACAGTTTGAGCGATCTCTCGGCAGAAAGGCTCTGTCCGGTACTATGCAGACCTTGGACAGCTTGAGAAGCTCTGCTTTAAAGAGACGTCGTTTCACATCAACTGCGACAATGTTCCGAGCTTTGTTAATCCGGACCACACTCACCATGCCTGGAGTAGCGTTGTTCAGGTAGTCTGTAAGCTTGAGTTTGCTGAGCGATTTGACTTTGTGGTTCTCAGTCAGGATGTACAATACAGTACACCCAACTTGTAGGTTGCCTTCACCCTTGAGAGATGAAGCATGACACCGTGGGTCCGTCTTACGCCTTTTCTTTCCCTGGGCAGCCTCGAATTCATCGTCGTCGGGCAGCATGTCGTCTTCATCGCAGAAGGACACGATCGTAGAGGAAGTTCAACTCATTGCATCTGCGGTTGGTTCTCTGGGCGGAATTTCATAGCCGTCTTTGAAAACGTCCGCGAACCTGCTGTCTTGCAGGGCGGCGAACATCAGTTGGTTTGTTGATTCAGTGTTCATTTTTGCATGAAGCTTGGCCTCCCTGAAGGAGGCCCCGCTCGAAGAAAGGTCCGATACTTCTCTGCTGTTACGGAATCGGTGGATACGAAGTGCAGGCCCGCTATTTAGCAAATATTTGGATATTTGGTTATATCTGAAGAGACAGATAGAATTACCAGGAGCAGTGTCGTCGTCCAAGAAGTGCGGATGGACACAACCAACGCCTGCCTTTAGTTGCTGTAAATGCATCTTTGAAGAAACTCGATGGTGTCAATGAGCTCTCACCTATACTAGCTTAAGAGGACTTAGAAATTTCAAAGCAGCTGATGCCAGACATAATGCAAGGCTTGCATGAGGCAATAATTTCAGCTGTTCTTCACGTTTTTCAGAAACGGAACCTAGAGGACACCGGTCCTTGCGTTCGCAAACTTCGACAAGGTGGCTACATTTAAAGTATAGATTGTCTGGCTAGAAGAACGGCATCTAGATGACTCCTCAGGTCTGTCCTTGTCGTTTATCTGAAGATGCTGCAGTTGTGATTCCTCCTCCCGAGGGACCCTTAGAGTCCTTGCTTTTTTGTGGCAATTGAGTTAGCTCCACTCATCGACCAACTTGCATTTTCTCGTCTATTACACAAATCATCGTAGGGTATGAGCCTCCAAAACAGTATTGGGGCCAAACATTTGAGGCAAAGCGCCAGTATTTCAGAACTCTGGCATAGAATCTCAAGAATTTTGTGAACGCCACCAACATACTGTCGGCACGACACCAACTCGTGTAGTATTATGAGCTCCACAAGTTTGTTCTCGGCAAACGGGTTTTTCCCGCAAGTCGTAAAACAGTACATCCCGCTGCGCTGAACTCCTCCGCAGAAAACCTGACATCTTGTGATCAGGTGTGGAAGGACAGGTTCGTTGTGACAAGCTCAAAATATGTCAAACGAATGCTTCCTTGTGATGAACAAAATATTGTGAAGAACCAATGTCACAGCAGGTTGTGCACAACCTATTCATCGCAATCAAAACGAAACATTGTTCGCTACTGCAAATTTCGCAAGAATGCTTTTCGGTTAATGCCACCACGCCTCTTGCGGTTTGCACCCGGCAAGCAACTTGTCCTTGTGGATGCGCTGTCTAGCATGGCCTGCGTACGGAAAGCACCCTTTCTGCTACGAATGATGTCGAGGTCCATACGGTTAATGTACTATCTCGCGTCCTTTCGATTTAAGAATAAAATCAGTACATGATTCTTCAAAGAGGACGCGCAAGATATTGAATCTCAAGACTTCATCCACAGCCTGATGAAGAAAACAAGACTGCAAATCGAGATGAAGCCACTCAAGTCGAAATATTTTTGTTATTGATGGTGCACTAGCAGAGGTATATATAGTTATTATACCATGAAGGCTAAAGCGACAGTTGTTTCAGTGCGTGAATTGCTGACACCTAAGACTTAACTGCTAAACTTCCTTGAGAGCATGGAGTTCGTAAAGATATGCACATATGGTTCGCGGCAGGATTCGCGGCACGAAAGCTATCAGACTTCGCTGCTCCCTTGGACTTTGTGCTTGTGACCTCTAGTCCTTACTTTATCAGATGCAATAGGGCATATGCGAAAATGTTCGAATGTCTGGCAAAACTCTGTGCGCTATTATCTTTGCTGCGTCGAGATTCCTCTACTGTTCGTCAATTTCGTGGCATTATCGGTAACAATCGAGGCCTACTGCTCACCGCCATCGATCCTCACCACACCGGCAGGCGAAGGACTACTATTGTTTTACGCCCTCCTTGCGCATGTACGGGCTCGTCGCCCCGCCGGTCGCAGGTTTCTCGCAGCAAACGACCCGGCTGACGTACATTTCAGCTCGAAATTTGGCTTCAAGTGCCGTCAAAGGCACGGGAACTGGCGCGGGTACCTATTTTTCGAGAGCGCTTTCTCTGCGCGAGTGCTTGTGCGAGCGAAGGATTCTTTAAGATTTGCACGCCTTGGCGTTTGCCAGCGCCGAAGCCAACTAGTGAGACACAGCATATTTTCGGCCCCCCACTAGGTGGCGCAGTGCATTTCGCATGTGGCCTATTGCCTCGCTGGGAAACGGCACTCAAATTGTGAAAAAGGCTGCTTAAAAGTTTGCATACTTGGTCTCTGATAATCCCAAAGTAACACCACTCGAGTGTGGAGCAGCGTCAACAAAGTTATCAATGAGTTAGAGGTCGCGTACCACTGACAAAGTAAGAACGGCTGCACGTGCCTTTCGAGCGCCTGGCCTCTAGCACGAGCTTCATGCCTTTCGCGCTTTAACTGCGCGCGCGCGCTCGACGTCCACGAGACGTCCACGTGTTGTCGAAGTTGGGAAGCTCGAGCTTTAGGCGGTGTAACTGAAGCTCTTCCCAGCCGTTCTCAACTTGTCAGAGACATACCATAATTTGCAACTCGTTCTGTACGTTGGACGCTAGGTTATAGTTTTTCCTCTACTCTTTATTTAGTCGCAATTATGTAAGTTTTAGGAATATCCTTTATCAGCTGCTTGTTTTTTCTTTATTTTCATGAAGGAGCAATCAGCCAGGACAGCCGCAGCAGCGGCTGTCTCCGCGTTGACAATTTCCACTCGTTTCCGCTTGCATCGTGTGTCGTCCAGGGATGATCAGACCAATGCATCGCATTGCAGCTCCTCGTCGGTGAGCGTGTGAACTTGACGCCTTCTGAGCGTCTCAGGGGTGTTGCAAGTGGCGCTCAGGACTCTCTCTGAGAATAGGCGCAGGTGTCCGATTTGGCAGTCACAATGCAGAGGATTATCTGTGCATGAAGAATTCTTTAGTCGTCATTATATTTTACATCAGAACACAAGGGAGAGACCTGTGTTTTTATTCCATGCATTAAAAAGTGCCGAGAAGTACAGTGCGTCTACAATGATTTAGTACTTCAAAATACTTCCACAGTTACGTGAGCCAAAATAAACTTAAGCACATCCAGAAGATCGGGCCGTTATTAGATAGGCTTCATCACCTAATTCACAAGCAATCAAGCAAAATCGGTACTCTTGGGTGGTCCTCTGAAACTTCGTTCTAAAACATTAAATAGGATTACATACCCCAATATTAAAACGAGAAAGATCGATCGCCTCTCGTGCTTATCTTAAAGTGTGTCATATCCAATATTTGCTCGCGTTATGTGGGCTATCCTTAAATATCCCCTTTTACAATGCCGAAATTGCACCAGGACCGACAGTTATACCAGATTCTCATGGTGCGATTTGACTTGCAATTTCGCAGTTTCAACGTCGCTCATGTGACAAAAAAAAAACCGAGATGGAAGTTGCTGGGCTCAATGTTGCTGTTACAAAATCGCAAACGAAAACACACCATGTGAATCGGGCTTTGCACACGGCTGATCTCACACAAATTGAGCTCAGTCTGAAAGCGGGAGACTTTCTTTTACGAGCATTTAATCAACATTGCTAGATTGTGCAGCTTACCGCCCAGTTCGATGGCCTCCGCCTTGCTTGTTAGCAAAGGTGCCAGGCATTCCTTTTCAATGGCACTAATCTGGTTCGATTGAAGGTCCAGAAATTTCAAGGTCGGAAATTCCTGCCCAAAGTCCTTTGGTAGCTGAGTTATATTGTTCATGCTGCAGCAGACAATACAGATGCGTATCAATCAAATTCATATATGCTTGGACGCAAAAAACGATTGATTTACGTCAATTAAAATGCGGCTTTAAGCGGCTTAGAAGAGTCCTTCGAGCTCAACGCTTTTACAAGCTCGCCATTCAAGGAACGTGTTAATAACCAGAAAGCCAGCCCGAACCATACTTACACCAAGTCCAAATTCCAGAGCTTAGGAGCTGGTCTTGGCAACATGGACCTAAGAAAAACTTTCAGATTACAGTCTCGGATGACCAGCGACTCCAATCCGCTTGTCTGAGCAAGCCAGTCCTCGTCGACGTGCACAATGCTCGAGTAAAGCACTTCCACTGCCACTAGACTCGATGATAACTGGTTCATGTCCTGGGACAAATCGAGATCTTTCATATGTGAGAGTCTTAATATTTTCAATTTTCTCAAAACTTTCAGCGTTCCCCAGGTTTGCGGCAGGCTACTGCCGTCCCTAAAAATTATCTTTTCGAGCGTGTCTTCGAGCCCAGCAAAAAACGACGGCTCTGTTGGGCCGAACACTTCGATTGTGACGTTGCTGAATTCCAGCACTGTAGCGTTGAAGTCTTGAAAGACACCTGACGGCAAGTTCTCAACGCGACTGTCCCTGAGAACGAACGTCAGGCGAGGATGTAGCTGAGGGCGCTCCATGTGTTTGAAGAAATCACTGGCAGTGCTGAGTTCGGAGCACGTGTACACCTCATCCATGGGACGGCTGGTGTTGAGGCACGTCGGCGCCGGCAGTACAAAGCCCAGGCACCAACCGAACACCACACAAGTAGATGAAAACAAAAGCCAGGTTGACATCGTCAGCCGCTGGGTACCGGAGAAAGCCTGATGCGTGCTCCGGAGTGGCACTTAAGCATCGGAGATCTGCGCGTGCGCCTATCGCTTGTTATCTAAGCCGGAGAGAAAGGACAGCGCAGTTCGTTGCAGGCGTCAAAGCTACGCTCTCTCGTGCTCGGTTTGGTTTCGCCCTTGGTGATAACTCCTCCCAGAACTTCCGAGATTTGAGTAGGATGTAACGCAGAACACCAAGAAGGCCACGGCGCGTGTCGAGTTGCCACTGATGAGCGCCCACTGATCTTTTTTTGGCTACGTGCGAACCGTGGGCCTCCAGCACGATGTGTCTCCAGACACGGCTAACAGAAAACATGTGTTCTCGTTTCCTGTTATAGGACATTAATTCAAAAGTACACATATTATTAGAAGTTCTCGAGAAAACAAAATCAAATGGGCTACATAAATTTACGATTTCGCGTTATTGTTTTCTAAAGGGCGTCATCATTAGGTGACAGAGTCTAATAATCTTAATGGCCCTTGTCTCCCTCGCCTGCTCATTTCTGTCGTTCTTTTGTTTTTGTTCTTTTGTCGTTCGCCTTTAAGTTACTTTGTTTTGCACACGTGCGCTTTTTTTTCCTTTGGTGTATTTACTTTGTGCTCTCCTTTTCTCTATTTTTTCTGTTATTTTCTTTTTGTCTTGTGAAGGTGCCTGACGCATCAGGTACCTTCATACAGGGCCTATATATACAGGTTTTTTGTAAATAAATATCAGTTGTGTTTGAGACATCGTTATCGTGTCGTCCTTCGTTTTCTCTAGTCTCTGGGTTTTAATCTATTGTGTTCTGGGGACACTTTTTTTTTCTAGTATTTTGTATTTAATTGCGCAATGCTGTACTCACTTTTTTAGATTTTTTTATTTTCAATTTAACGTCATGGTTCAGATGTCATTATTTATAATATTAGTAACACTGACACCAGCGTACGTTAAACGGTAAGATATTTTTTAATTGTTTTTACATGTCGTACTTAATTTTTGACATACACAAATATTGAGCTACGGATATAACAGTAAAAAAGAGATTACAGCGTGGCAATATTTTGTTGACTATTGACTGGAAATAAATTTTTCCTTCACCATAACAATTTCTCAGCCCGATTGAATGTTTTACAATAAAAATAGCATTTTCATTCACAAATCGCATAATAGGCTCTAAGTGTTATTAATAACATTATTGTTTTCTGAGAAACCTTCAAGTTAAAGCATAACCGGAAAGGAAGTGTGATCTAGCTCTGGATTCAAGTCATCCTGATTTCACCTCACCACTCTGGCCATAGCCATTCCGTGCCCCCGCTTCAGGAGGAGCTACGGTGTTACTTTCAATCAGAGGTCGGCATTTTAGGTCGCCCTCACTCACCCTCACCCTCACAGCCACACTCACCTAAGCCCCTCACTCACCCTCACCCTCACAGCTACACTCACCTTCAGCCCCTCACTCACCCTCACCCTCACAGTCACACTCACCTTCAGCCCTTCACTCACCCTCACTGAACCTCACGGCCCTCACGCACTCACCGCCCTCACGGCCCTCACGCCCCTCACCGCCGTCACGGCCCTCATGCCCCTCACTCACTCATGGCCCCCACGACACTCACCGCCCTCACGCCACTCACCGCCCTCACGGTCCTCACCGCCCTCACGGCCCTCACGGCCCTCACCGCCCTCACGGCCCTCACGCCACTCACCGACCTCACGGCCCTCACCGCCCTCACCGCCCTCACGGCCCTCACCGCCCTCACGGCCCTCACGCACTCACAGCCCTCACGCCACCCACCGCCCTCACGCCACTCACCGCCCTCACGCCACTCACCGCCCTCACGGATCTCACCGTCCTCACGGCCCTCACCGCCCTCACGCCACTCACCGCCCTCACGCCACTCACCGCCCTCACGCCACTCAGTACCCTCACGCCCCTCACCGCCCATGCGGCCCTCACACCCCTCACGCCCCTCACGCACTCATGGCCCTCACGCCACTCAGGCCAGCTTCAGATGGGGCAATTTCGCCCAGAAACTTTACGTCGCGACACCAGCAACACGGGCCGCCCGCGATCACACGCAGCAACCGATTGCTGCAATTTGCCATCGTCATCATAAAATTTTATTTTTCTTGCACTATTTAGACATAATTACGCGTTATAAACGTGTTTTCATGCATTTAAACCTCGTTAAGAATACAAATGCACCTTTCTGAAACAGTTCATTCCCAAAAAAACGATCGATTTCAAACCAGAACCAAGTCATTCGGTGTCATCATCACCGGCACGAGGTATCACGTGAAAATTTTGCGTCCCTGATTGGATGCAGCCGCTTCAAACGTATTCGAATTGCTCCGAGTTCTTTGCTTATTTCGAGCCGGACCCGATCTCAGCAATTTGTGTCGATGTAGGGAAAGCTAGAGAACAACCCACCATTAACACCAAAACTGCTGAGAAAGATGCTTGATCTGAAGGGGGCCTCACGCACTCACCGCCCTCACGCACTCACCGCCCTCACGCACTCATGGCCCTCACACACCTCATGCACTCACCGCCCTCACGGCCCTCACAGCCCTCACGCCTCTCATGCCACTCACTGCCCTCACGCACTCATGGCCCTCACACCCCTCACGCACTCACCGCCCTCACACCACTCACGCACTCATGGCCCTCACGCCACTCACCGCCCTCACGCCCCTCACGCATTCATGACCCTCACCGCCCTCACGGCCCTCACCGCCCTCACGGCCCTCACCGCCCTCACCGCCCTCACGGCCCTCACCGCCCTCGCGGACCTCACCGCCCTCACAGCCCTCACGGCCCTCACCGCCCTCACAGCCCTCACTCACCCTCACACGCATGAATTTTCCTGGTTCAGAAACTCACTCACCCTCACCTCACCTGTGAAGATGAGGGTGAGTGAGGGCCCTCATGAGTGAGGTTTGCCGAGGTATGCTTTCAATACACGGACATCTGCGAGGAGGTCAAGAACTTCGATCGTCCCGCGCCTCCTTCCAGGGTTGTGCAGCCCGAATGAAGCGCGGTGTTGGGACGCGCCGCTGGGGCAATAACTCAGCGGAGACAACGCTGCCCTACGTCGGCGCCCCTTGTTACGGGGTCTCGTAAAAGCCTCCGGCAGATTTCGAGTAATCTATAAATGCGTACTGCGAATGGCTATAGCTTGTTATGACGTTGGAGCGTGTTCACAGGAAGACCTGCAGCGGGAAACGAGAAGGGGCCAACTGCACAAGGTGAGGTTCCGCGTCTTCGGGGGTTACTTTTAAGCAGAAATGAGTGATAATTTTACAAAAACTGAAATTATGTTTAAGATTTCTAATTCCGTTAACCTGGATTTAAGTGAGAGAGAGAAATTAGAACGTAAATTTAGTCAAAAAGGACGCAGAATCTTATACAATGTATAAACATACGCGCAAAAAAAAAATCTTATCATTGTTTTAGCTTAAGTTCAGACGCGCGAGCTCCGGGCTTTCAGCGTCCCTGCCAAGCACGCACACTCGTGCAGTGCAAGTACTGCCCAAGGCCACATGCTCACGCTTGCAGCATCCGCTGCGTCTGAACTTAAGATGAAACGAAGTATAAACTGACTGGCAGCATTTGGCTGAAGTTTTTAGCTCAACCTTTTTCTGCCCACTACTATCCTCGGAAGGACTAGGACTAAAATAGCTATGCCTCGGAGCAAAACGTCGGCTGTCGTGTATGTTTACTGCACGTTAACTATCTTGACCAGAGAGAAAAAGAGAGAGAGAGAGAATAAACTTTATTAAACAACTCAAGTCCGATCCGTTTTTAATCTTCATCGGAGGATGAAGAAGCGCTGTCTGTGTCCTTCACGGGTCTGTGGGTTTAGCGTTCAATGATTAAGTTATTTTTTCAATGTGGGCGACGAGGAGTGGCCACAAGTTGGCTTGGAGATCTTTTGGGAGAGCGGCCCAGCTCGCCCAGGAATAGGGACCTAAGGAGGGAAGAAGGGAGGGAGAGAGACGGGTGAGGGAGGTTGAGGCTCTGGAACAGGGCCAGAATGCGTGTTCAATGAATGGATAACCTCCTTGGCCATTGCAGGTGGGGCGACCAGATAGGCGCTGAACTAAGGGCATATTGTCACGAAGGACTAGGTGACGAAACAAAGAATAACTGAGAAAAATGAAATGTTTAAAAGGCGAACTTGTCCCCAAAACAAAAAGAAAACAAGCGATAACAACAGAGCCTCGCGGGCGTCAAAGTCGGCGTAACAGCTGGATCGAACGCTGGGGCGAGACTGCCATCGGCTCGCCAAGCGGAGCACCTTTCGCAGACGCGTGGCTTTCTGGAACATTCGGCCTAGAACGCTCGGCGCGTACAACATTTGTACCTTGATCAGGCGAGGCAGTTCTCGAATTTTCAAAGACGCCAAGTAGAAAGAATAAATAAAAGAATATTCCACTCCCTGGAATCGAACCCAGAACATCCGCGCGACAGCCAAACACGGTAACCTCTCAGCATGTGTGCGCTTGCTCAGCGACGCGCGTGACAATATAGTGCTCCGTGGGAAGAGAGGGAGTTCGTGCTTGCCGAAAAATAGAGGCATCCTGTCTTGAGTGGGAACAGGAAGTGGAGGGGATCTTGCAGCGCTGGAGCCTGAAGCTGGCCATGTCTGCTGTTCGTTCTTTGTGATGTTGGGTGCGGTCCTACCGAAGGTGCTATGCTTCCGGTCAAGGTGTCGAAGGGCCCGGAGGTTCGCTGTCGCCTGCCATAGTGTGTGCTCGCTCGTTGTCCTGAAAGCCTTGGTGTCCGGGGATCCATTCTACTCGCAGATGAACTGTAACTTGCGTATGGGTCCGCAGGTATTCTTGGAGGGAAGTGTGGATATGCGTAGTCAGTGTTTGCGCCTCGAAGCTGCACAGTGATGGTGTGCCGTGGTGTGTTGATGGAGGATGATTACTTCTAAGATGGTTTGTGCCTCCGCCTCCGCTACTAAAGGCACCTCGGAGTGAAGCCTCGTAATGGGGGTAAAGGGTCCGACCGTCGCCATCACGGCCTTCTTGTCGATGACTCGAGCGTC